ACTTTGTTTCTTCTCAATGATTACAATCCACTTCATGCATTAACAGTTATCCTGCTACCTCCCTGTGGTTCCTATTTCCATTCCATCCACCTTCCCATCCCTTCTCCACTTTATTCTTAGGTAAATGTTGCCCTTTTGCTTTTGAATGATTGACCACTCCATGGTGAGCATACCTTACTAGTGTTGTTGCACTCCCCCCTCACCCCCAATAAACCTGTCTACTTCTTGGTTGAAAATTGGACTATGAGGATGAGTTTTGTTCCAGGCCTAAAGGGTGGTTGAGGGCCATAGACTCAGGTTGCTCCAATCTCTTTCTGACCAGTAAACCTGGCCTTTTTTAAAAATTATTAAATGATTTTGAGTTTTGTTCCACATTGTCTCCCACTCTATCTGGGACCCTCTAATGTGACCTCTTTCTGGGCAGTTGGGTGTAGGAGCCAGACACCATGTAGTTCTTCTGGTCTCAGAGTCATGGAGATTGATGTTCACGTGTTCCATTAGTTCACTGGACTAATTGATTCCAAGCCTCTTCAATTCTTATACTCTTTATAATCTTTATACAGAAACTAGATAATAATAGCATACACAAACAAAACCATTCTGGTAAAAGAAACATTTAAAAGCTATAAATAAAAGTAGTAGTAATTAAGAATCTATGCTGCAATAAAATGGTATTTTAAATTTATATAGTTACGTTTATTCCAGGAATGTGAGGATGATATATTGAAAAATATGAGGGGCTTAAAAAATTCATGAAATATGAAATTAAAAGATAATAGAATTTTTCCACAAACATTTTGAAGCTCCCTCATATAGTAAAGTACTTTAGTATATTGTGGTTAAATGAAAAATGTAAGTATTTAAATAAATGTCAAAAAGTGATTGAAAAACTCAATTTGTAGATATGTAATTATGATATGGTATGGTTTAATGCACTGAACTGTAAGGTTGGTTTGAACCACAAGGTCAGTGGTTCAGATTAACCAGGTGCACCTCAGAAATCCTATAAGGGTCGCTATGAGTTGGAACTGACTCAGCGGCGCTTAACAACACCAACAATTGCAATTTAAAAAAAATTTTATTACCAGTTTAGAAGGGAAGAAAGTGAACAAAGGAATATTGTAATGATCGTTGTACATGGTGCATCAAAATATTCCCATTCTTCAGCATTTACATTAAGGTATTAGATAAGAAATAAATAAGGTTCAAACATTGGGGATGAGGAGGAAGGAGGATTAGAGACATTGGAAATAGTGCCTATCGTTTATGTGAGATCCCATCTACCAAAAAAGTTAAAAAGAATCAACTGACAAACTAGTGAAAGTAAGAGTTTATCAAGGTGCTAGATACAGAATTACAAAAATCGTTAACCAGTTGGAGGGTATTACCAAAAAATAATGTAATCTCATTCACAGTAACCATAAATTCTAAAAAGGAATGTCACACTCTTCCTAATAAACATAAAACATTTTGAAATATATAATATTGTTGCTAGAGGAATAAAATAAATGGAGAACTCCATCAATTCTTATTTGGGATGATTCAGTACTGTTTTCACAAATTTTGGTGTAAAACTCATTATAATCTATAAGGGACAAAAATTAAATTTGCATAACAATTCATGTTATATATTTAAAAAATGGAACCTGAGTTCATCTCAAAAATAAAACACACAAAACATTAGAAGAAATTATGAGTAGTTTTATTATCTTTGTTTGTAGATGACCTACATAAATAAAACACAAAACTCGGGTGCTTGTTAAAAGGAAGATTGGTGAGTTTAAAATTTTTATGTTATTAAATATATGTACCAAAAAAAGACATAAAGAACTTTACAGGATCCGTAATAATCTGAGAAAATCATCTGCAATATAAGTGATATGTAAAGAAAATCTTAAAGTCAGAAAGAAAAATTGACCAGCAGTACTATAGAAATAATGGAATAAAGACTCAAATAGAAAGTTCACTAAAGGAGAAATTAAACTGTTTGATAAAAAATATCACCTGAGGCATTAACTCATTAATTAATAATCATTATGACCATGTGCCCCAGGTTGTCTTGAGACAGGGGTTTTCTGGAACATAGAATTTTGAGTTGTATAAGTAGGGTGGGTGGTTGCTACCTTAATTATCAGAGATGGACCAAGTCTTAGAAGAACTAGATTGTTATTTTGTTACTGATTAAAATTTAAGGACAGTTATACTGTTGGTCTACAAGGGCTGTGGTTCAAACCTACCATCTATTCCTTGGAAACCCTGTACAGGGTCACTATGAGTCAGAACCGACTCGAGGGCACTCAGCAACAACAAATACTATTTGGGGGAAATTAAAGCATACAGCTATTTGAAAAGAATTAAATGGCTGTAGACACAGACTCTTACCTTTGAATAATTAAAAGTTTGTTCTGATAGTTCACTTCTAAGAATTTACCTTTCTAAATTAAATGCTCACATTGCATTTGTGTACAAAGATTTTCCTGTCACCCTGTAATGCCAAAAGAGAAAATACTGGAAATAATCTAAATGCTTAATACTAATGTATTTGTTAAATTAAGATACCATGGCAAATGTGCTGTGCAGTGATGAAAAGGAGTGAAGTGGACTCAATATTAAACATCTTCAATATATATAAAAGTTGCAGGGCAGCTAAATATCTTGTTCATGTAAATGGTATGGGCTATCGGTACCAACTCAGTGGCACCAAACAACAACAACAACAACAACAGTGTACCCATAATACCACACCAAATCGTAACTACAAATCTACAAATTGAGTTTTTCAAACACTTTTGGGTATTTACTAAAATACTTAACATTTCTTATTTAACCACAATATATTAAAGTACTTTGATATATGTTGTTGTTAAGTGTCGTCAAGTTGGTTCTGACACACAGTGACCCTGTACAGGGTTTCCAAGGCTGTAAATCTTTACGGGAGCAGAAAGCCTCATCTTTTCCTGCGGAGCAGCTGGTAGTTTTGAACTGCTGTTCTTGCGGTTCGCAGCCCGATTCATTAACCACTATGCTAGCACTCCTTATATATGAGGGGGCTTTAAAATGTTTGTGGAAAAATTTCCATTATCTTTGAATTTCATATTTCATGAATTTTTTTGAAGCCCTTCATCCTCACATTCCTAGAATAAATTTAATTAGTTAAATGTAAAATACTATTTTATTACAGCATAGATTCTTAATTGCTAATATTTTTATTTATGGCTTTCAAATATTTCTTTTACCAGTATGGTTGTTTGTGTGTGTGTGTGTTTATGCTATTATTATCTAAATTCTGTGTCAAGATTATAAAGAGTGTAAGAATTGATGAGGCTTGGAATCAATTAGTCCAATGGACTCAGACTTGAACATGTTACCATTAGAGACCAGTCCATGGAGAAGGATACCATGCTTGGTTAAGTGGTGGCTCAGTGAAAAAGCCAACCCCCAACCCCCAATGAGATGGATTGGCACAGTGGCAGTAGTAGTGGGCACAAGCTAAACACTGATTTTGAGGATGGCACTGGACAGGGCAGTGTTAATTCTGTTGTGCATAAAGTTGCTATGAGTCGGAACCAACTTGATGACAGCTAGCAACAACAGTACAATTGCAATGAATTTTTGAACCCAGATGATAAACAGAATGCTGTGGGGAAGAATGGTTAGTAGTGTCATTTTTTTGCAAGTCTTTTAAACTTGAATTTCAGAGAAGGTAACCTGACCGTAAAGTGTTCTCTGAAGGACAGAAGAATAGGATGGGCATCTCCTTCTGGAAGATAGATTTAAACTAATGCTTCAAGTATGTGGTATGAGAAGAGTTCACTAGTTTCTTTCTATCTCAACCATACAATTTTTCTCATAATTTTCATTCTAACGTAAAAAAAAAAAATCTTGCAAACTGACTTAATTGAGTCCACTGAAACAAACTCAAATTAATTTGCGACTTGAAAAATACTTTAGTAGAGAGAGTAATGGATATCAAGTCTGCTTTGCCAATTGACTAAGTCATTACATTATAATAATTTGGGTCGGAATAACAAACACTAGGAAGAGAATCCAAGAGTCAGCCAACTATCTCAATTGAAAATATGTGAATATACACACCTTGTGTTAAAAAAAAAAGTTAACCGTGAAAACTTCACTTCACAGTGTCTACATGTATTCTATACATGTATGTATGCATGTATGTAAACACATAAATATGATTTTTGTTATACATAATAGCTAACATTTCTTGAACACTTTCCACATATCCAAAGTTGTTTGTTCATTATGCATTTATTCTCCTTAACTCTTTAAAATAATCCTCTGAGGTATATAATAGTATTATACTCATTCACTTGATGAGGAAAATATGGCCCACAGATGTTATATACATAATCGGTAGAACCAGAATTCGAACTTAGGTTCCTATTGGTAACATGTCCAAAGTCTGAGAGATGACGTCTCACCATATTGGCTTCTAAGGAGCATTTTGACTGTACTTCTCCCAACACAGAATTGGTTTTTCTTCTAGCAGCCCATGATACTTTTAATATTCTTCTCCAACACTAATTCAAATGCATCAGTTCTTCTACAGTCTTCTATATTCATTGACCAACTTTCACATGCATAAGAAGCTCTTGAAAATACCAAGGCTTGGGTAACGCTAACTTTAGTCCTCAAACTGATATCTTTTATCTTGAACACTTTAAATAGATCTTCTGCAGCAGATTTACTTAATGCAATATGCCATTTGATTTCTTGTATGCTCCTTCCAAGAGTATTGATAATGGATACAAGCAAAATTAAGTCTTTGACAGCTTCAATGTTTTCTCCATTTATCGTGATGTTATTTATTGGTCCAGTTGTGAGGAATTTTGTCTTCTTTACATTGAAATGCAACCCATACTGAAGGTTGTGGTCTTTGATCTTCATAAATATTTTAAGTCCTCTTTGCTTTCAGCAAGCAAGATTGTATTGTTTGCGTAGTACAGGTTATTATTGAGTCCTCCGATCCTGATGGTACATTCTTCTTCATATAATACAACTTCTCAGATTATTTGCTCAGCATACAGATTGAATTGTTGTTGCTAAGTGCCATTGAGTCGGTTCTGACCCATAGTGACCCTGTATAAGGTTTCCGAGGAGCACCTGGTGAACTTGAACCACCAGCCTTGCAGTTCAAATGGCTTTGCAGCTTGGTGCATTAATCCACAGCACCACACCAGGATTCCAGACAGATTGAATAAGTATGGTGAAAGAATACAACCTTGGTGCACACCTTTCTTGATTTTCAACCATTCATTGGCTTCTTATTCTTTTCGTACAACTGCTTCTTGGTCTATGTATAGGTTCCTCATGATCACAGTTAACTGTTGCAAGATTTCAATTTGTGTTCCACCAATTCCCAGAGCCTTGTTCTTTGCTAATGCGCTTAGTGCATCTTGGACTTATGCTACCTCTTGAATATCTTTTGATCATCATCCATTTCTTTTTGGAACAGTGACTCTGTATTCCTTCCATTTTCTTTTAATACTATCTATATCATTCAATATTTTACCCACAGAATTCTTCATTACTACAAATCAAGATTTGGATTTTTTCTTCAGTTCTTTCAACTTGCGAAATGCTGTGTGTGTTTTTCCCTTTGGTTTTCTAACTCCAGGTTTTTGCACATTTCACTATAGTACTTGACTTTGTCTTCTCAAGCGGCTCTGAAATTTTCTGTTCAGCTCTTTTACTTCCCCATTTCTCCCATTTGTTTTAGTATCTGTATGCTGGAGAGCAAGTTTCAGAGTCTCTTCAGACATCCATTTTGGTGTTTTTCTTCTTTCTTGTCTTCTTAATGACCTTTTACTTTCTTCCTGTATCATGCTCTTGATGTTATCCAACAGTTTTTCTGATCTTTGGTCATTATTGTCTAACACATCAGATCTGTTCTTGAGATGGTCTCTAGTTCAAGTGGGATACGTTCTAGGTCATGTGTTGGCTCTCATGGACTTTTACTTTTCTTCAGCTTCAGTTTGAACGTGCATACAAGCAATTGATAATTTTTCCACAGTTTGCCCCTGGCTTCGTTTTGGCAGATGATATGCAGGTCTTCTACCATCTTGTCCTACAGATATATTCAGTTTTGTGTGTATTCTATCTGTTGAGTTCCATGTGTATAGTTGTCTATGTTGTTTCAAAAGGTATTTACAATTAATAAGTTCAATATCAGGAGTTCAAACTCACCAAGCACTCCTCAGAAACCCTATACAGGGTCATTTTGAGCCAGAACCAACTCAGCAGCACTTAACAACAATCCTCTAACCCGTAAATTACTCTGCTCTTTGTTTCCATCCTTTTCTAATTCATTGCAGTGACCACACAGCACTCACACCATACTCACAGTTATGGATGGAGCTCAGTAAGGAAGCTGGTGTTGTTAAGTGCCTGTGAGTCCATAGTGACCCTGTTTAGGGTTTCTGAGGAACAGCTGTTGGGTTTGAAACGCTGATCTAACCTTGAGGTTAGCAGTCCAGTGCTTATCCTCCAGCACCAAACAAGAAGTTAACAGGTTACAGTGCAGGATTAGAAATGCTCAGGGCACAGTTGTTTTCATCAGGACAACCTCTTCTCAGCTGTACCCACAAGCAGGCTTCTCTCTGTCCAGGCAAAGTTACAAAGTTCGGACTGCTGATAAATGCTTGCAGGGCACACTATTATATTATAAGCTTCACCCGAAGGCATTTATCTCTAGTTTCCTGAGTCAGTCAACCTAACTTCTACCAATTAAGTGCCTGGAGGCACCCCACTCTGAAAGCCAGTCTCTTGCCCAAAGTCACTTGGCTTTCCTTGGTCCTTGAGCTGGGAAGCCCACCAATCTGTCTTGTGATTCTGGTGCTGCTCTGCTCCTCCTCCTCTTGCACTTCTCTGGTGCAATAACTTTATGTTCCTGGGTCAGAGAGGTTCAGTGTGTAGGTATCTCAAGGTCCACAGTATGTGCTCCACTCCTGGCTCTTTTTCATGGAAATGTAGTCCCCCACTATTTCTTCTGAGATGGCTCATTTTAAACATGTTACACTTCAAATTTTGACAGTCACAGTTAACTTTGTTAACCACTCATAACTGAATTATTATTCTTTCATCATCTTCTTCCACCTTCTCTTACCCAGACCCAGATGAACAAACACTTTGTTTGATGGGAGTTACAAAGACTATGGGTAGAAGTGCCCTATAAAGTAAATCACTGTACTGCAGTACCCTCGTGTATGTTATTTTAGTGAAGATAATTATACTCCTATGTATGCAAAATGTTCTCTCTTGACCAATATCATTAGCATCTCCTAGAAATTTGTTAAAAATACAAATTTTAGGCCCCATCCAAAACCTACTTAATTAGCTTCTCTGATCTAATTAGATTTGTTGTTGTTAAGTGCCCTTGAGTCGGTTCTGACCCATAACGACCCTGTATAGGGTTTCTGAGGAGCGGCTGGTGAGCTTGAACTGCCAACCATGCAGTTCAACTGGATTTGCATTCTGGCGCATTAATCCACAGTGCCAGGTGATTTCTTTGCATGGTAAAGGAGCCTGGTGGAACTAGACTGCTAACAGCAAGGTTGATAGCTCAAACCCACCAGCCATCCATGGGAGAAAGATGAGGCTGTCTAGTCCGCCTAAGAGTTAACATTCTCAGCATTCCTGTCTAGTGTCACTGTGAGTTGTGATAGACTCAAAGACAGTGGGTTTTGGTTATGCTAAAGCTCAGTAGACAATTAGGTGAGGCATGGGAAAGGATTGTTGGTGCCAAAAGAGTGTGGAGGTACCAGGATATAAAAAGATCATAACTATGTAAATCTCTTATTAAAAATATTTGGGTATCATCTTCATTTTATCTATGATTTCAAACTTAGGGTCCACTAAGATAATTGACCAAGTTTCATAAATTAAGAAAAAGCACTTTATAAATAAATGCCTGTTTTTCTAGGGTGTTTAAATAGTATCTCTCTCCGTATGACATTATCATACTATTGGAAAATCAGGGCTCAAGAGGAGTTTCAGTCTGAATGTTCACACATCCACATGTTGATACTGATCTACTTTAGGAGATTTTTGGTTCATTGAAGTTATTTTCACCCCCACAGTTTGTAAATTTGCCTTTGTGTCCAAAAACTTTTTGCTGCCTTATCTCCCAACTATGAATGTGGGTACTTTATTAAGAGCTTAATGTTAAAAATTATGTTTTCTTTTCTGTTTGCAGAGCAAAGATGGTCGACCTTTGTCAGCAAGGGATAAACGCGCCTTAAAACAATTTGAAGAAAGGTTACGAACACTTAAGAAAAGAGAGAGGCACTTGGAATTCATTGAAAACAGCTGGTGGACAAAATTTTGTGGCGCTCTACGTCCCCTGAAGGTAATTAGAAAACTATGCTGTCACTCTTCACCCTCATTTAAAAAATACCGTTCAGAAGGCTTGAGGTTTTTCTCTTGGGGCATTATCCTGTGCTTGTAAAGGCATGGATTTTGAAGTTAAAAGAACCTAGTATTGAATTACAGCTCTCCTCTTTGGTACATCAAGCAAGGTACATTATTACTTCTCTTGAGCTTCATTTACTCATATAACATAAGGATTCTAGCATAGTTATTGGGAAATTTAAATACACACATAGCTGAGTGTGTGTAGTATACTGCCAGCATTATTATTTAAGCTTGTACTTTTCTATAAAAAGGAGATCTAGGATTAATAAACCCGTATTGTAAATCAGGAATCCTAACTAAAAGTAATAGAATTTACCTTGTTGTTAGAGGATATGTTTCTGAAAGTATGTAAAACATATTGCATAAGAAGGAAAAATTGTTCTTTTTGAGACCATCATTTGCCTGCTTTGAATTCTTGGGACAGAAGTACCTAAACTATAACTATCTTGAGTTAAGGCCATCGTAATATGTCTCTGGGTCTTAAAAAGTAGCCGTAACTAATGGCCAGAGACCTCTCTATATGCCCAGTCTGTATCTGCATTGCAAAGAATATTTTAAACACCAGAGCTTTGTAGACAGCTGTTGTTAAGTGCCATCAAGTCAGTTCCAACTCATAGTGACCCTGTCTAGGGTTTCCAAAGAGCAGCTGGTGGGTTTTTACTGCTGACTTTTTAGTTAGCATTTCCATGTTTATCCTAAAGCATCGCACAGGACAGCAATTTATAATTCAGAAAAATCCTGTCAGTAGACTGGATTTTGCAAGCAGATTAAGCAACATGAAGCTTGAAAGTGGCTTTTGGCTAAAAATTTTGAATCCAGGTGTGGCACTGTCAGATAAGCATTGGACTGCTAACTTCAACATCAGAGGCTCAAGCCCATTAGCTTCTCCTCAAAAATCCTATACAGGGTCGCTACGAGTCAGAACCAACTCAGTGACAACAGCAACAACAAAAGACTCTTGAAGATCAGTCAAGTGGAATCCTGGTGCTGCTATGTGTTCCTCTTATAATGAGAAAGGAAATGCATTAGCTGCTTACAAAAAACCCAAACAAAAAACACTCCTCTTCTGAAAGACTTAGTGCTACTTTGTTAGTCAATTGCTCCATTTTAACCTTTTATTGGAATAAATTTTTTAAAGATTCATCTGTTTTTTTCCCCCAAGATGATTTGTTTTCTTAGCCACAAAGGTATATGACATTCTTCCCAACCCTGATTTAATCTTAAATTTTTTCTAGTTTTGTATAGTCTTATCAATAACATTGGCTACCTTTTTTAAACCTGTTCTATCCTATTTCACTTGGAGTCCTGGTGTGGCACTGTGGGTTAATGTGCCAGACTGCAAAGCTGTTTGAACTGCAAAGTCGGCAGTTCAAGCTCACTAGCTGCTACTCGTAAACCCTATACGGGGTGATTATAACAACTTGACGGCACTTCACAACAACAACAACATCCTATTTAACTTAACATACAGATTTTTAAAATCAGCACAACAGAGCCACAAAATGAATGGAAGAAAACAATCTGCACAAAGCTACTGTAGCATAAGATAATACAGGTTACAGGATAGACAGTGAAGGGAAAGGCAATATACAATAAGAGGGAAGTTGATAGATAATGACAGATTCAGGGGAAGACACTGGGAAGGATTAAAGAGTTATCCTGCAATAACACACAACCTATATGGGTGTGGAAGAGAGTGGAAATATATCCATGAATATGTGTAAATTTGACAGAGGATATTTGTACATGTGTATTGACCTATGAAGTAAATATATTCATGGATGTGGTGGAGTATAGAAGGGACAACATTATGAAAACTTCCTACACATAACCAGACACCATGAGGGAAGGAATGATTATCAGGGCCTGTGGGTTTAGGACAATGGTATCAGGTAACACAGAGGTCAGTTGGCATAACACAGTCTACAAAGATACTGTTCTATGTCTACTTTAGGATAGTGATTGGGATCTTAAAAGCTCATGAGCAGCACTGCCCAGAAGAAAAGAGTGACGAAAATTGAAGACACTTGTTCTAAACAATTACTCCAGTGGACTAATGAACTATTGATCATCTGTCTCTATGACCCTGAGACCAAAAGAATTAGAAGAAACTACCAATTGCTCTGAAAGGGATTACATGAGAAGGTTCTGAGTAGAGTGGGTAAAAATTGTAGAACAAAACTCAAAACCATATAAAAGACCAGGCTTTAGTGCCTCTTCAGGTCTGGAAATGAGCTCATCCCCATGGCTGATTTTCAACCAAACAATATATTAGGGAACAATATCACTACGAAAGTACACATACCTTAGAATAATCAACCATTTGAGATCAAAATGACAGCTTTTAGCCAAGGACAAAGTTCAAAAAGAGGGAAAGTTTTTTCTTTAATAAACTGCTAAATAAATATATTTACAATATATTCATAACCTTTGGTTAATGAAAACTTCAGTCCATCCCCCCAAAATTATGAGGCAGGCAGAATATTACAGTATAACACTTCAACTGAATTAAATATATTCAAGTCAGGATTTAGAGAAATGAAGATACATTTTGAACCAGAAATTCAAAAATTGTAAACAGAAGTGACAAAAGAAACAGGAATCGATGAAGAGAGTTGAATTCAGAATTAAACAAAAGTGAGAGAAGACACAGTTAATTTTAGAAATGAAGCCAGAATTACAAGATGTAAGCACTGGACCATTAATCCCAAGGTTGGTGATTTAGACCTACCAGCTGCTCCTTGGAAACCCTATACAGGGACACTATGAGTCAGACCTGACTTCAATGGCACTTAGAAACAACAACAAAGAAAAACAAACTCAAATCAAAATTTGATAAAAATATTAAAGAAAAGACAGGAAATCAGCCAAGAGAAACAAAGCAAGAAGTAAAAGGGTCAGAAAGAGATTGTTGAAATGTAAGACAAAAGGGAAGGTATGTATATAATTGTATCCTTGAAGATGCATAGTAAATCACTGTAACAGAATACTTAAAGCCATAATAATAATAAAAAAAAAAATTCCCCAAATAAAAGACCATGAGTCTACATACTGAAATAGCCACTTAATACTAGGGAAAATTGATGGACAATTTCCAAGTAAAACCTTTATATTTGAAAGCAAAACCCTCAAAATCCCCAAGTATAAAGATCAACTACTGGCTTACAAAAGCAACATAAGACAATTCTGCTGATGAAATAGAAATTGTGTAACTGTAAATTATTGTTTTTAGGCGCCATCAAACGTGTTTCAGCTCATCAACCCTATGCAAAACAAAATGAAACACGCCCAGTCCTGCACTATCCACACACTTGTTATGTTTGAACTCAATGATGCTGCCATTATGTCACTCCATCTTATTTGGGGTCTTCCTCTTTTTGATTGACCATCCACTTTACCAAGCACAATGTCCTCTTCCATGGATTGGTCCCTCCTACTAACATGTCCAAAGTACAAGAGACAAAGTCTTGCCATTCTCCCTTTTATGGAGCATTCTGACAGCACTTCTACAAAGACAGAGTTGTTTGTTCTTCTGTCAGTCCATGGCATTTTAATTATTCTTCTCCAACACCATAATTCAAATTCATAGGTTCTTCAGTAGTCTTCCTTATTCACTGTCCAACTTTCACATGCATATGAGGCATTTGAAAACACCATGCAAAGGTCAAGGGCACCTTAGTCTTCAATTTGACCTCTTTGCTCTTTAACACTTTAAAGAAGTTTTTTGCAGCATATTTGCCTAATGCAATGCACTTTTTGATTTCTTGACTACTGCTTCCATGAACATTGATTGTGGATCTAAGCAAAATGAAGTCTTTGACTACTACAATATTTTCTCAATTTATTTATTGGTTAACTTATGAGGATATAACTTATGGTTTATATTGAGGTGCAACTCATACTGAAGGTCATAGTCTTTGGTGTTTATCAGTATTTTAAGCCCTCTTCCAGCAAGCGAGATTGTATCATTGGTTATTAGTGAATCTTCCTCCAATCCTGATGCCACCTTCTTCTTCATACAGTCCAGTCTTTAGTGTATTGATTGAATAAGTATGGTGAAAGGATACAACCTTGGCACACACTTTTCTTGATTTTAAACCATTAAGTATCCCCTTCTTCTGGTCTAATGACTGTTTCTTTCTTTTTTAAGTTTTTATTGTGAATTGAGTGATAGTTTACATGGGAGAACGTTAACTTTACACACATCCTATCATTTTTCATTTCATTGTAATGATTACAATCCCCTTCATGTATCATCATTCAACAGTATTTGCTTCTATTCCCTGTTTTTTGTTTTTTTTTGAATATAGACCAAAACACTCAGGAATATGCAATCATTCAAATATCCAAAGGGCATACCCTGCAAGCCTGCCCTCAGCTGCCAGCACATAGCTTTTCCCTCCATGAGTCTAGAATTCCCAGCCTCTCTATCTCTCCATGTCATCATCTCTGCCTTCATCTCTGGTGTCGCTGCTTCTCTGAATAGGGTCTAACACTCTGCTCCCACTCTTCTCCTTTTATGGTCCCAGGGTCCTCTGCTCCTGGACTGCAAGATCAACCACTCTCTTCCTTTTGTAACAAAATGATTACAATAGCAACAATCACAATCAGTCATGATAACAATTACTCACTATTGAATCATAAGAGTCTTATTCCCATCTCCTTTAACCAGCCCCATATAGACAGGTTGAAAACCTTTAAGTGGAGATTCTATCTTCCTCCATACCCTCTGAAACTAAACTCCCTCTTGAAATCTTGTAAGCCAGTCACTTTATGTCCCCCTCCCCCATTGTAGGTAGCCAGTGTCTAAGTTACCCATCGCTGTCAACTCTTTGTACAGAGGGGATGGGAATGATCCTTGCTGTGAAGATTTCTTCCCTCTTTAAGCTACTATATCCATAAGTATAGGTCAAGTTCATCAAATTGTAGCAAGTT